ACAAAATCTTGTCAACAGACAGACGGACGGACAGCTAGACAGACAGACGGATATGTTGATTCCAATATACTGCGGGGGTATAAAGAATTATCATTTTTTAAAATGACTATAGTTGTTAAGAGAGAAAGAAATAATTTTAGCAGGGATAATTAGCAAAGTAAAGCAATAAGGTTACTGAAGTATATCCCAACTAAGTTCATAGAGCTGAGCTTAAAAGCAGCATATTCTTTTATTTACAAGTCAGTGATGGTACTTCTGGTGGAAATTCCCATAAGTTTTGTCCTTTCTTTAAATTGCTTTTCTGAAAAAATCCTGTACATCAGAATTGAAGGAATGTGGTAAATGTTGTCGTTAATCATAAAGGCAGTCAAGACTTTTAAATTCCCTTTGCCTGAGTTTAATTTCCTGGATATTTGTTCTATGTTTTGATCATAGGACATAGAAAATAATTTACAAATGGAAACATTAGAAGAAAAGGTTAAGAATAATTAACAAATTTCAAAAGTCTTGGAGATCCAATTCGATCTGGTGATATCCGAGTACCGCATGACTTTTCAAATGTATCATGTTTTAAATTTTATCTATATGTTGTGTACTTTTAGCTTTGGCAGACATGATATCTTTGTATTGTTCGATTTTCAAACATAAGTGATTTGTATGGTGGCATGTTTATGCCATCCACATAATTTTTGGTCAACATAGTTTATCAGGTCAAGTCAAGATAACTATCTCGCCAAGTCATGATATCTTTCTGTTTTGTCGACAAACACCTACTTTTTATCTTGTCCAGTCAAGATAAGCTATCACATTTTGTTGCAATCGCTATCTAGACATGACGAGATAACTTATCTTGCATCATGAATAAAAATGTTTCATTGACAAAAACTGCCATTTCAGAAATTGCAGTCACGATGTATAATAATGACGTTTTACGGGTATCTCGGTCATTTTCCTTGTCCTAATCTCTTAGAAACGGGAAGTTCTCCTTCACAAGGTAAGATGTTTTACTTTTAATTTACTTTTTTACCTCGAACAAGACCCACGGGATTTGACAATTACATTAATTTGGATTGTATTAATTACAGTAAAATTTGCGCAAAAAACGAACAAACAAACAAACAAACAAAAACTAGTGTACAGATTTTGAAGAAGGGTTGGGGGATTCTGGGTTGGAAGGTTTTTTACTACAAGCTTGAAAAAGCGATGTTAATTTGTTAAAGAAAAACTTAACAATTGTAGTTAAAATGTATTTTTTTATAATTCTTAATGATAATTTTCACTCCGAGGTGGAGAATTTGAACCTGTAAATATATATCATAGCAACAGTCATGATGTGGCCTGTTATATAATATATGAGTTTATTACAAATGATATTCTTGAAATGCCACTTACTAGCTTTAAATACTCGTACAAAGACAAAAATGTTATAGTCCAACGCTTTTGCGAAAGCGAGGGGACATTAAATCTCATGTGTATGTCCGTCCGTCTGTCAGACAGTCTTTTTAAAAGTGTAAAAGCCAGAGTTAGTTTATTAATTAGTCTATGTTATCTTTCATGGAGATAAAAACCAAATCAGAACAATGGGAGAAAATTACATTGGAACTTTGATCCATAATGTACAACTGCATCAGATGGTGACAAGGGATGATCTCATTGCTCTTTACTATCATGCTGGCTATTCTGTGAATGAAATCATTGGATTCCTCGCATGTCATCATAATAGTGCAGTAAGTGAAAGGCAAGTACACAGTATACTAAGAAGGATGAATTTACAGAGACGAAACAATGAGTCATTATTAGAAGACGTTGTTAGAGCAATTATCTTAGAACTAAATGGCACTGGACGTAACATTGGATACAGAAATATGAAAAGACGATTATTGACAAATCATGGTCTCCTTGCCACAGGAGAAACGGTCAGATTAGCTCGTACAGTGCTTGACGCAGAGTGTGTCCTCGCTCGTAGCAGACATGTTATTCGTCGTAGACGTTACATTAGTAAAGGTCCAAATTTTTCAATTCATATTGATGGATGGGACAAACTTAAACCCTATGGAATATCCATTCATGCAGGCATAGACGGATACTCTCGTCGCATTCTGTGGCTAAAAGCATGTAGTTCAAACAAAAAACCAGAATATATAGCACATTTTTATTTCAAATATGTTCGAGACATAAATGGAGTGCCATCTATCATTTATGCAGACAAGGGGACAGAAAACGCAATTGTTAGGGACATACAGTATGCGCTTCGCTGGCACCACAGGGATCTATTCCAAGGATTATCTAGTTTTAAATATGAGTAATCAACAAGGAACACTCGCATAGAAAGATTCTGGAGAAACCTCAGAAGCATGTGCGGACAATTTTGGATGGATGTATTTAAAGGAATGGCAGACCATGGAATCTTGGATACGTCAGACAACATTCATCTTGAGTGCATTAGATTTTGTTTCATGTCTTTAATCAACCAAGAACTTGATAACACTATTCAGCAATGGAATGAACACCTTCTAATACTCTTTGGTGCATCCGTTAAAGAAGTATGGCATTTCCCCATCACTCCCAACACCAGTTTCAAATTTTACATTCATTTTTGAGGAAAGCTAGCAAGCGATTTAGAAGAAAGTAAAGTTATTCGTTTAAATAGACCGCGGTTTCCCTATAGAGTGTGAATTCTTCACCTTTCTATGAGTGAACAACAAACAAGAGAGTTCAAATAGGGTCAAAATGTTATTTGAATACATGCTAAACTTTTGAAAGATAGGTTGTAAACAAGTCTTGTTTGTTACAATATCCATCTTCACTACCAATGTCCGACTCGCTTAAGATCAAATACAATTTGAATAAATGTGAAACTTATGAAAGTATTACCACCCATCTCCGCTGACCAAGTGTTCGATTTGTGATCCTTGTTTACAAACATATCATCAAATAACCTTTACAGTCCACTGTCCATAATTCATCAGGTTATATGAATTACATCAGGAAAAAACTTAAGTTACTTTTTATTAATGATGTACAATAACTTCTCAAGCGATAACGCGTCCTCGGAGACACAATACTGCATAAAACTTAAAAACTTATATGGTACATGTACACATTAGTTCAGTATTTACTATTGAATACAATTTCATCTTTGAAAGATGATTAATTAGAACTTTGAGTGTGTAATGACTAATAAAAATCAAACAAATGATATGATGTTTAAATCTCGAAACTAAATAGAAATGAAATCAAATATAACAAGAGGCCCAGGGGCCACAGCGCTCACCTGAGCACATCAGCTAGGAAAAAAAACACGTATCAGATCAGAACTGAAAGTTAACTTAAGTTGGGGGGACTGAATTTTAACCCCCAAGGGGATCATAATTTGAACAAACTAGAATCTACATTACCTGAGGATGATTCCATATATTACTAATCATGGCTTTGAAGTACTTGAAAAGAAGATTTAAAAAGGTTTCCCTATATATTTCTATGTAAAACTTTGGTCGGCTATTTTGGCCACACCCTTACCCCGGGGTCATGATTTGAACAAACTCGAATCTACACTACCTGAGGATAATTTCAAATGAGTTTCATCTTTCCTGTTTCAATGGTTCTTGAGAAGAAGATTTTTTAAGATTTTTCATATATTTTTCCTATATAAAACTTTGATCAGCCATTTTGGCCCCGCCCTACCCCCGGGGGTCATGACTTGAACAAACTTAAATTAACATTACCTGAGGATGATTCCACATGAGTTTCATCTTTCCTGACCCAGTGGTTTTTGAGAAGAAGATTTTTAAAGAATTTTCCTATATATTCCTATGTAAAACTTTGATCGGCCATTTTGGCCCCGCCCTACACCCGGGGGTCATGACTTGAACAAACTTAAATCATCATTACCTGAGGATGATTCCACATGATTTATATCTTTCCTGGCCCAGTGGTTCTTGAGAAGAAGATTTTTAAAGATTTTCCCTATATATTCCTATGTAAAACTTTGATCGGCCATTTTGGCCCCGCCCTACCCCCGGGGGTCATGACTTGAACAAACTTGAATCTACACTACCTGAGGATGATTCCACGTGAGTTTCATCTTTCCTGGCCCAGTGGTTCTTGAGAAGAAGATTTTTAAAAAATGCCAATAATTTTTCTCTAATTCATGATTATCTCCCCTTTGAAAAGGGCGTGGCCCTTCATTTGAACAAACTTGAATCCCCTTTACCCAAGGATACTTTGTACCAAGTTTGGTTGAAATTGGCCCAGTGGTTTTTGAGAAGAAGATGAAAATGTGAAAAGTTTACAACGACGATAACGACGACGACGACGACAACGACGACAACAGACAACGGACAAATTGTGATCAGAAAAGCTCACTTGAGCCTTTGGCTCAGGTGAGCTAAAAAGTATATATCTTTAAATTCTTTTGAACAATAAATATCTAACTCGAAATTCATAATTCTTCCGTTGTGTCTATTTGTTATTTCTAAAATAAATTACTATAGATCTACTGAACAAAAAATCTTATTGGACTGAATAGTGAAGAAAATTTTTTTAAAAAATAATGTGAATTTCTAAAGACTGACCTTTAATATCAATCTAACGTTTTCAGAATAAGGGAGGTATTTAGTTTATAAACTCATCGAGATCGGCATTACCAAAATTAAAACATCTAAAAGCGATGGAGGCGAGTACTCGGATTGGGATTGCGGTGTTACTCATTTTATGTGTGTTCAGGACTGGTAGTGCGATGGATACTTTCAATTTTTTCAAAATTTGTGACATTAGTGTGTGCAGTTGGAGGGGGGGGGGGGGAAATTAACGTTTAATTATTTTGATGCCGATGGCATGCTGGATTTGACATGCACCCATGTGGATGTTGTTTATGTAGAAAACACACCACTGATGTGTAAAGATGCAAACCTAGTCTTCCTGACCCAGAGAACGCTCACTGCTTACATGAATGGCGATATGTGTGTTAGTATTTTAGTATGACTTCATCAAATGAGTATTTAATTACAAAAATGTCTATGTATTAGGAGCTTAGAAATATGATTGATCTGATTATAATAATTGTTTACGTCGTACTATTCAGAATAAATGTGTCTATATCACAAGTCAATACATGTTTAACATTGATTTTTAAATTTTTGCAGCATGTCTCCTCGTCTAGGAGCAGCCATCCCACCGATAATCCCACATCCAGTACCAGAAGTGACAAACATCCCACGCAAGCTACCAATAGCAGGATTAATGATGAATTCAGCAAGGTGATTTAACATTATATTCTTGTATTTGATATTTAAACCAATAAAAAAATAATATTGACTTGATAACAAACTGTTTGATTATGGTATGCTAACACCTCTCCCTTCAAAAGTAATAAATAAATAATAAATTTCAAGATTCTAGAGGAGGTAAGAAGTGACACACACAATTCAATCAGTTAGTTAACAGTAGACTGAAAATATCCCTTTGTAAGAAGGTGTATCATTTGTAGATTATGGGACTTGACAATGGTGAGGGAGACATACATAATGGCAATAGTGAGGGAGATCTCGACATACATAATGGGGAGATGGGTACTTTCACAACCATAGTGTTAAGTAAGTATTATTCATGACAAGAAAAACATATCAAGTGCTTATTGTATAAATTAAAATGAAAATAATACATTATTTATTATTTCAGTAGCTTCATCTTGGTAAGAAAATATACACTTGTCATGTAACTTCACTGGCATGTCATGATGTCTTGTTGTAGCGACTTAATATGCCTATGCTTAGCTATGTAGTGGCTTTTGCTCACCTTCTTTAGAAAAGAAGTCTTGCTACTTACTCATCATCTGCTAATGTGGGTTGTTTCAAGGACTACTTTAAAAAAGAGATATTGAAACCAAAGAAAATGATCTTGAGGATGATGGCACTGAATACCTATGATGATATATTAAAATCTTAATTTTGTAGGTTTTCTTGGACTACTTATATATATAGGAAATTCAGTTATTGACATAAAGAAGAAGTTGCTGGAAATCATAACAATTTTGAAAAAAATGTATGCAATTGTTAAAAGGTTTTTGTAAAATAATTTTAAATAATAATGTGAATTTCTAAATTTTTCTAAAGACTAACAGTGCAGCATATTCAGGAAGATAATTCTGCAAGCACGAGTAGATATCCACAAAGAGTTAGAAAACAGACCGTTTTCTACGGTGACCCTGTTAAATTTTGAAATATGAAACATGTCACTCATAATATACAATGCAGCTGTATACAGTATCAAGTTTGAAGCTTTAAAATAATATGAAAAAGCATTTTTTTGATTTTACAATATTTCACACAGTTTGTCAATCTAGAGCATAAGTAGAGACATCATGCCAAGTTTCATGAAAATTCAACAATTAATTAAGATTTTACAGCATTTACAGTTCTATGTGTAATATCCTTAAAAAATGCTCCAATCTAGCCAAAACTGCACCCAAGTTTTAAGTCAAATTTTAGCCTATTAACACATTTATACCATTCTTAATCAACTTCATAACTTTAAATACATATAGTCAAATCATAATCAAGCACTTAATTGGGTCAATTTCA